TCGTAATTTGAGAGAGTTTTATTTTAATGAAGCACATTGGATTACTGATAGAACTATAAGTTGTATTTTAAACTCATACTCTAATTTACGATGCTTAGGTATACTGGCTAGTCGTGGAAAAATCAAAGATGCAACTACATTAGTACAAACCCACCTCAAATTAGAGTACCTTGATTTCGCCCATGTTATGGCTTTTCGAAATGATTCTCTTATTGTAGCTATTATTAGATCTTCCCCAAATTTAAAACATTTTAATATTTCTGGTAATGATATTGGCGATGAGGTTATTGAAGCACTAGCCCACATATGTCACGAATTAGAATATCTTGATCTTGGAGGGTGTGGATTCATTACCGAACCATCGATATGTAATGTTATTTGCTCTTGTCCAAAACTTCAGCATCTTAATCTTGGGTTTTGTAACATTTCCAATACAACCATTGAAGAAATAGCCCGTTTGTGTCCTAATTTAAAATATCTTGGTTTGGAAGGTTGTGAAAATATTAGTGAAAAGCTCGTGAAATGGCTTAATCCAAGTATGCATATTGAAAATTACGATTCACCATATGAGCAGTCCGATTCTGGTTCGTCCGACACTTCTGATTCTGATCCCGACGATGATAATGAACGGAATCTAGTGGATGCAAATAGATTCATTTCTGAATTTATTAATCGTTTAGCATCAAATCCAATTGAATTAGAACAAAATATCACAAGACGCCTGGAAAATTTATTAAGTAATTTCGTTCTGTAGTAAGGCATTTTAACTGCATTTATAAACTGCGATCAGGATAATCAGATTTTTTACGTATTACGTAACACGTTCTATTACCCGTGATGTGTATTCGAGATGCAGAGTCGATCATAAGGGGTTAACGTGGTACTAATTGATCAAATTAATCGTGCACGGGCTAATGATGGCAGAATGACAAACAGGATGAACATTGCTCTGGATAAATTTGTAGAATGAACATTGTTTCGGTATAATTGATCACAAATGCAGTGTAGATAAATATATAGTATGAACA